GAAAGGGAAGATTTGAGTATGACTGGGAGTTACTGCCAATTATTCCTTTGCTGCTTGACTTTGTAGAGCAAAACAAAACTCAGGATCCAGATACAGTAGGTCAGGGAAGGATTTGTTAGTGTATGGAAAAACTTTGAGTATCAGACTTTTTCTGGAAGTAGTGAGTTCTGTTTTGTTCTTGGTGACCAGAGGCACTTTGAAAACCAGGTAACTCAGTCTGTTCTAGCTGTGGGTCAGACATACAATGCAGCATAAGGCTAATAATCAGCCTCCAGACATCTTACAGCTTGAGATATTTGCCTTGGAGAAGTTCTTTCTCAGCCGGGCATGGTGGTGCATGCCTTTAATCCCAGCACTTGGGAGGCAGAGGTAGGTGGAGCTCTATGAGTTCTAGGCCAGCCTGGTCTATATAAGTGAGTTCCAGTCCAACCAAGGTTGTATAATGAGACTTTCAAAAAACTTAATTGAAAAAGATGCCCTCAAATTGAGGCTGTAGTCTTGAACTTTTTTTCAGGGCTACATAGACTGTAAAGCCAAGTAAATCATACTAGATATTACCTGAATTAATTACTAGACTTACTTTTTGGGGTATGTAAAACATCATCCATTGCAAAATAAAAGTATGTTTAATAAGTATTAGTACATACCCTATGTCTAGTTTAGCACCTATATTACTTTTCTGCTGTTGTGATAGGACACCCTAACCAAAGCAACTTATGGAGGGAAAAGTTTATTGGGCTTACAGTTCCAGAGCAGGTCCAAGTCTGTCATGGCGGGGAGACATGGCAGCATGCAGGCATGACAGTGGGAGCAGGAAGTAGAGAGCTCACATCTTCAGCCACAGACACCAGGCAGAGAGAGGGAAACTGGAAGTGGGGCAAGGCTGTGAACTCCCAAAGCCCGCCCCCAGTGACCTTCAGGTCACACCGCGTAAAACCTCCCTGACCAAACTGCAGCACCAGCTGGGGACCAAAACCACCACAGCATCTTTAACAGTTTTTCCTATTTTGTGGTGTTTTTCTTCATTCATGTGGAAAGTTTGTTGTTCTTCCTGTTGATTCACAAGACTGTTAAATTTCTGTTTGAATGATATGTAACCTTAAATACTCAGGTGTGTAAGGCTAGAGCCCCAAGTGTTGTTTATGTTTATTGTTTGTTGCCTAGTAATCTCATGTTAATCTTTGCTGTTACATAGTTGAGCTCATTGCGTATTGAATGTCAACTAAAATCCTAGAGGGTAAAATGACCTTTTAAATTTTTAATTCTATATTCTTATGTTGCTTATTCTGCCTCCTGAAATAAAGATTTAGAGTTAAAGCTTCAGAAAGTGAAAAGAGCATTTTCGAAATATCATCCGTTAAAGACTTCCTTTTAGACTTAATATAAAATTATGGAATGCTAGTGAAAGGGAGTCTGAGTAAACATCTGAGCTCAGAACATCTGAGCTCAGAACATTGTGCTTTGTGTATTTTATTAGGTGCTCATGTACTACCTTAAACCCTTTTCTTCTGACTTGGACTTCTTGTAGCTTTTGTATTTTGCAATAGATGGTGAACTTGAAATGGGTGATTTTCTGGTTTATCTGGCCTCCTGGCTGTATCACATGGTTCTGGGTGCAGACTTTTGTTGAGTGGAGGAGGCCAGGACCCTCCCACTGAGTCATCTGCCTAGGGTGCCAGATCCTTAGATCTAAAGACTTAACTAAGGTGAATCAGTCATTCTCTAAAGTTCCAGTGTGGTAAAGCTTATTATGTAAGTGGGTGAAAGCTGAAAGCCTCTTCAGAGCTCGGAGCTTACTGAAAGCCTAGTAGAAACAGTAAGACTACTTGAAGTAGGGTGCTGCTGGGTCTAGATACAGCCCCGTAGCCTCAAATTCTGGCCAGTACATCAAACAAAATCCTTTTTTCCATCATCCTTTTCCTCTGACTACTTGTGTTAGATCTTTTGTCCTAGATAGTTACCCTATTTTAGTCAGAGTAGATTAGAAAAATGGAATAACTTCACACATAGAATCTGTTAAGTAAACATTGGAGTTACTGATTCTCTGCTAACAGTATGTTAATCATTTAAAATTTTTGCTCATTATTATTTTTGTTTTTGTTTTTGGAGGTACAGTCTCACTCTGTGTAGCCGTGACTGGCCTGGCGCTCACAGAGATCGCCCTGCCCCTGCCTCCTGAGTGCTGGGATTAGAGGGCTGCAACACCACTCTTTGTTCATATTTTATTTTTCTTTAATTGTATTTGTTTATTTTTATTTTATATGTATGAGTGTTTTTCCCACGTGTGTAAGTACACCTTTGTCGTACAATGCCCACGGAGGCCAGAAGGAGGAACTGGAGTTACAGATGGTTGTTAGCTACCATGTGGGTGCTAGGAATCCCACCTGGATTCTCTGGAAGAGTAGCCAGTGCTCTTAACTGCTGAGCCATCTCTACAGCCCATTTGTTCATCTTTTAGTGCTTGAAGCATTGAAAGTATTTCCTGTATATTCATGAAACATTATTTACCTTTTTAAAAAAAATATTTTATTTATTATTTTTATTTTATGTGTATGAGTGTATTGTCTGCATGTATGTGAGCTATTGTCTGCATGTATGTGAGGCACCTGTGTCATGCAATGCCGCAGAGGTCAGAAGAGGGATTTGGATTCCCCTGGAACTGGAGTTAAGGACGGTTCATAGCCACCATGTGGGTGCTGGGAATCAAACCCGGGTCCTCTGCAAAAGCAGTCACTGCTCTTAACTGCTGAGTCATCTCTTCAGCCCCAACATTTTTCACCTTTAACTGTGACTTAAAAATACTAGATACTCCGGGTATGGTGGCGCACGCCTTTAGTCCCAGCACTCGGGAGGCAGAGGCAGGCGGATCTTTGTGAGTTCATGGCCAGCCTGGTCTACATAGTGTGTTTCAGGACAGCTGGAGCTACAGGGAGACCCTATCTCAAAAAGACAAAACAAAACAAAAAACTAGATACTTGACTGCTTACTACTTATTTTATGTACATAGTAAGCATAAATAGAAAGCACAACCAAATTTTTCCAAACATTTGGCTAATCTTAATATTTAAATGTTTAATAGATGAATTACATACTATCCCAGATAATACTGTGAACTCCTTGAGCATGGACATTATCTCTTAGTAATTCTCTAATGTATTATTTATTCAGTTGTTGTTTGGGGGTTCTTTTTAAATTTTTTAAATTTCCTTTTAATTTTTTATTTATTAACTGTGTGTGTGTGAGAGAGAGAGAGAGTCAGGACAACTTATAGGAGTCAGTTCTCTCCACCATGTGGATGCTGGGGATCAAACTTAGGTCATCAAACTTTGTAGCAAGTGCTTTTCACCTGCTGAGTCATCTCACTGGTGTTTGGGGGTTCATTTGAAGCATGGTTTCTTGTAGCCCAGGCTGACCTGGAACTCAACATCCTCTTGCTGCAGTCTCAATAATGGGATTAAGGCTTGCACCACCCTGTCTGGCTCTTACTAGTTTTGTATCTCTCCTTCCTAATTCCTAGTAAAGTACTTCTTCCATACCAGGTAGGGGAGTGTGTGTGTGTGTGTGTGTGTGTGTGTGTGTGTGTGTGTGTGTTGAATAAATTAGTGGTATAACTAGTAAAAGTTTACATATTTACATATCTGTTAAAATCTTTCAAGTCTTTTTTCCCCCAATTCGTACTAAATATTTCAGTTGGTAATTGGAGTATAACTTCATTACCACACAGCCCTAACATATTTTTGTCTTCCTTTGCTTATTTATATAATCTGCTTTCCTACTATAAAGGAATTTGGTGCACAAAATATGTGATAATGACAGCTAATACTTAGATTGTACTTACTATGGGTCAGGTACTGTTCTAGGGCTTCACATATATTATTAATTTACCCAGTCCTTGTCTAGTCCTCTGAGATAAAAACTGTCACACTCAGCTCACAGGTAAATAAGACTAAGAGGTCACTCAAAGAAGTACAGTAAGAGTTCAAAAAGAAATACTTTCATTGATTGAGAATTGCATACAATGTATTTTGATTATAGTCAGACTCCACCCCCCCATTCATCCCATCTTAGTAACCCCTTCCTATGTTTTTTTTTATTATTTAAAGTCTTTTATTAGCATTGCTTTTTAAAATAACATGTTTACATCAAAAACTTCATATAGGTTGGAGAATTTGGAAAGAGAATGAATGCCAAACTTACAGTACAGCAACAGTGATAAATTTCACAGTATTGTTAAAACTTGGTTAGTACAGTTATGTCAGTAAATAATACCCCAAAACTAAGAGCTGAGCATGATGGCACACACCTTTGATCTCAGCCCTCTGGAGGCAGAGGCAGGCAGGGGTCTATGTGAGGTTGAGGCCAGCCTGGTCCACATAGACAGTCCCAGGCCAGCTGAGGCTATACAGGGAGACCATATCTCAAAAACAAAACAAAACAAAACAGTAATTATAGTAGACTGATAAAATTGTGAATTTACGTTCCAAAACATAATTATATATTTTTAGTTTGAGAATTATATCAGTTTAGTTGTTCAAGTACTTTAAAATTAGCTTCCCAGACTGATTTTTAGCTCTAGAAGTTCAATTAGGTGATTTGTATTTTCTGTCAGGCACAGGTGAAGGTACACTGGGGCTGTAGAAGATTAATGGAAAAATGATGGAAAACCTCTGGGTGCCTGGGAATGGGAAAGGTCCAACGTCAGGGTCTGGGTGTGTGTGAGTAGAACAACCGATACATGATTAACTCCATGCTTTGGGACTGATATTTTTTTTTTTTACTTCCCCCATGACCCTTTCCCTCTTGGCATAAAAGTAACATCTGACATGGTCAAACAGTCTTGCCCCATCTATATTGCTATTCCAATTTTGTTATCCAGAGGAGGATGGCATCAAGTAGATGCACTCTCCATGATTATTTTATGCTATTATTTTCATTTAAGAAACCCTGTCATATTTGTTAGTATTTAAAGATTAACTCCGAAATGTTTCATTTCTTCATAGTACAGTGCTTTGGATACCAACCCACTCTCTCTGTATGTTATGCATCCATTTTGGAACACTATAGTGAAGGTAAGATAATTAACAGGCATGAGTTTTTAGTTTTTTAAAATATTTTATTTTATGTGTATGAGCATATTGCTTTCATGTAGGTGAGTGCACTCGTGTTGTGCAATGCCTGTGGAGGTCAGAAGAGGGCATTGGGCATTGGATCCCCTGGAACTGCAGTTACGGATGGTTGTTAGCTGCCATGTGAGTGCTGGGAATTGAACCTGGGTCCCCTGCAAAAGCAGCCAGTGTTCTTAACCACTGAGCTGTCTCTCCAGCTCCCATGAATTTTTGTTTTAACCTATTTTATGGAGTGTTATTGATGCAGCTCTCACTTTATTTTTTGCAGTTCTAGGGATTGAACCTAGGGCTTCATACATGCTAACCAAGTATTCTACCACTGAACTGTATCTTTAGGCCTTTTTTTGCTTTTTGAAACAGGGACTGACTAAATTGCTTTGAAGCTGCCTCTTTCTGAGTAGCTGAGATTACAGACCATACTTCCAGGCCCAGATTTTCATGAGATGTGTAAAGAAGCTATTCCTTCCATTTTCCTCTCAGTCACATTTCTTTTCATTTATCTCATTGCAATTTATTGGTTTTGTAAAATGCCCTTTGTAACCTTGTAAAATAACTTCAATGCTATAATTATAAAAGTTTGCATATTTTAGAATAATTTAGAAGTTAGAGGACAAAAAGAAGAAATGCTCATATCGACTGGCATTACAGTTTACAGTAAAGATATATATATATATATATACTTGCATATGATCTTTCAAACTGATTGCTTTTTTATGTCTTAAATTTCTATGTTGTTTTGTTTATTGGATGATGTTTTTTCAATTATTTAAACTAGGTATTTCCCACTTGGCTGGCTCCCAATCTTATAACCTTTTCTGGCTTTCTTCTGGTTGTATTCAATTTTCTACTTCTGACATACTTCGATCCTGACTTTTATGCTTCAGGTAAGAATATTGCTTATGTCTCAGTAGAGAAAAATAAGGTATGGTTAGTTAATTTCTAGTTTTACTAATATGCTTATGTTTCTGAAGGTTTTAGATGCTTAAAAGCTATAAAAACCCAAGTTGTATTTTTACAGTGTTGTATATATTTCTGTTAAGTTCTAGAAATATAATAGCAACTTGCCTATTAAGTTTATATATGCTGTTTGAAAAACGATGAGGTTTTTGGGAAATAAAGAATAATTAGAACCTGGGTATAGTGGTTCATGCCCATAATCCCAGCACTTTGGGTGGGGCTGGAGAATCAGGATTTCAAGGCCAGCCTTAGCATAGCATGGGTTCACAAAACCAAAAAGGAAACTATTAAAAAACTGGATTTACATGATGACAAAAATTAGGATTGTAAAACTGCCTAAAAATGAATATAACCAAGGTCTACCATGACTATCAATGCCAGGAATCATCCCTTCCCCACTTCTAGTTCTACAAAAAAAAAATCTCTTATAAAGGGGATGCAATCTCTTATTCCCTCTGTTAGTTTCCTACTCTAGTTCCCTCAAAAAATGGTTCTTGGGTTTAAAAAAATTTTTTTTTCCAGTAGTGGGCATTGAATCCAGGACCTTGTACATTTTAGGCATACACTGTATCACTGAACTCCAAACTCAGCCCATTTTTAAATTTTTGAGCACCCAACCACCAAGAATGAATTCAAACTCAAATATGGAGTGAGTCTGAGCTGTTACTGACAGCAGTCAACTTCTGTGCAGTCTTGGTTCTGAACATAGAACATGCAGACTTTGCACTGAGCATGTGTCATGATTTAACACTAGTGAACACTGCCTGAAACACCTCAATTTAGGACCGTTTATTGTATATTATGAATTGCATTTTTACTGTATGAAAATTTCTCCTCTTAAACATAATGGCTTATTTATAGAAAACAAAAACATCTAATATTTTTTATTATTATTTCTCATTAAGTATCAAATTGACATTTGTATTGTGTTAGTGTTTTATTTTAAAATATTTTATTTATTATTATTATTATTACTACTACTTTTTTGGGGGGGGTCTTTTTGAAGCAGGGTTTCCCTTTGGCCCCAGCTGTCCTGGAACTCACTATGTAGACCAGGCTGGCCTTGAACTCACAGAGATCCACCTGCCTCTGCCTCCCAAGTGCTGGGACTACAGGCGTGCGCCACCACGCCTGGCAAAAAATTTTTTTTTGTTTTTGAGACAGGGTCTCCCTGTAGCCCCAACTGGCCTGGATTCACTATGGAGACCAGGCTGGCCTTGAACTCACAGAGATCCACCTGCCTCTGCCTCCGAGTGCTGGGATTAAAGGCATGCACCACCACTCCCGGCTCCTTATTTATTATTTTTTAACTTTATGTGTATGAATATGTTGCCTACATGTAGGTAGGTGCACCTATGTCTTGCAGTGTCCCAAGAGGTCAGAAGAGGGCATTGGATCCCCTGGAACTGAAGTTACAAATGATTTTTAGCTGCCACGTGGGTGCTGGGAATTGAACCCAAGTCCTCTCCAAGAGCAGCCAGTCCTCTTAACCGCTGAGCCATCTCTCTAGCCCATAGAATGTTTTATTTTAAAAACTTTTTTGTTTTTTTGAGACAGAGGTTCCCTGTACATCCAGCTGGCCTGGAACTCACCATGTAGATGGGCTGGCTTTGGCTCTTCTGCCTGCTCTGCCTCCTGAGTGCTAGAATTAAAGGTGTGCACCACCAGACCTGTTTTGTGAATTCACTTTTAAAATTCCCCCAAGTATATTATTATTTTCATTATTATTTCATAAGTAATTTTGTTGTTTTCTTTGGTCTGTTTTGAGACAGTGTCTCACTATGCATGCTGCTCTGGCTGGCCTGGAACTTTCTATGTAGACCATGCTGGTCTCAAATTCATAGAGATCTGCCTGCCTCTACCTTTTGAGTGCTAGGATTAAAGGTGTATACTACTATGCCCGACCTTTTATAAATAGTTTTGAAGTAAAGATGAATACTTATTCTTTAGTTTTTAATAAAAATATACTGATTCTTGCTATTAGTGAGGAGCCAGGGAATTAGTTTGGTTTTTGGCACAATTGACTAATAAATTTTAGTATATTTTAGTTCTGCATTTAGAACATATCATAAAGTAAGTTTACCTCTTATTCAGTAGTAACCATTTCTTACTTGGTGGCAAACGCTGTGGTAGAACTATTGTACCAGACTGTATTAAAAACTGTAGTTACTTTCTTTTGCAGCACCAGGCCATAAGCATGTACCTGATTGGGTTTGGATTGTCGTGGGCATCCTCAACTTTGTAGCTTATACTCTAGGTAAGAGACTGGGACATTGTCGTCTTAGTCAGTAGCTGATAAATCAGCAAGGATAGGCACCTACTAAATTAACATTTTCTCCTGTGTTTGGGTTATTTTAACTAGGGTTTATTAATGTTGTTCAGATTGATAAATTTATATTTTTTAATGTGTCTGAAAGATGCTATTATTCTACTGCTAGGAATGTACACAATAAGATAGGAGTTGGCAAATGAATACTTGCAAGTAAAATCTGGCCACTATCTGTTTTTAGAAGTAAAGTTTTATGTTGTTGGTTTTTTTGTTTTTTTTGGTAGTGGTAGTTCAAAAAATATTTTTATTCTTTGATAATTTCATGTATGTATACGATGTGTTTAGATCATGTCTACTGCCTTACTCCCCCTTCCAAGTCTTTCTGGATCCCCTTTGACATCTTCCTCCCAATGCCATGTCTTCTTTTTTTCTTTCTTTGTGTAACCCACTGAGTCCAGTTAGTGCTGCTGTATGTGCTGAGCAGGGGCAAGCCTACCAGGGACCATCACCCTGAAGAAAACTGACCCTCCCGGAAGTAGAGTTTTCTGGAACACAACTGTGCCCATTTATTAGTTGTTTTTGGCTGCTATCCTGGAATAAAGACACAGTTGAGTAGTTGAAGTAGTCTCTCACAAAGTGTATGACCCACACAGCCTAAAATGTATAGAATATCTGGTTCTTAGCACGAGATTTTCCAACTCTTGGAGTAAGACATTATTTTGCTTTAAGTTTGGCAAAGAATATTGACATAGCAAATAACTATAGGATGGTAAGAGAGATGCTGTAATAGAATACAGTGGGAAAAATAGGGTACGATCTCTTCTTATTCAGTAGAGGAGTCAAAAGTCTGCACAGGTAGTATATCTCTTCTGCCAACTGTACTCTTCAGCAGGATTATCTGTATGACTTATCCTACATTTTTATGTCCTGCTTTCCCTTTTGTTTCCTTCGTGGCTCTTAAAACTGTACACATTATCTGTTTACTTGCTTGTTTGTTGTCTGCCTCTTCTAACCAAAATGTTCAGTTCTTTGAGAGTGACTACTGCTTTGTTCACTGCTATATCCCCAATATCTAGATCATTGCCTGGTACACAGTAGGCTCCCTTGTATTTAGTTTTTAAATACATGTAAAATAGCAGACCTTGATTTCAAATTGCTTAGATCTTTTCAGATAAAAGTAACATGTTCTCATAAAGCCAGTATAACCTGGTACATTAAGTGCTGACATGATGGTTGGCCAGAACTGTAAGAGTTTGAAGGAGAAGCTCAGTGAAATCTTTAAGAACTAGAGGATGCCAGGGCTGGAGAGATGGCTCAGCGGTTAAGAACACTGACTGCTCTTGCAGAGGACCCGGGTTCAATTCCCAGCACCCACATGGTGACTACGAACTGTCTTTAACTCCAGTTCCAGGGGAATGAAGCCCTCTTCTGACCTCCGTGGCATTGCATGACACAGGTGCACTCAAATACATGCACGCAATACACTCATACACATAAAATAAAAATAAAAAATAAAAAAAATAAGGAATTAGAGGATGCCTTAATTAAAAGGTGACTTTTAAAAAAAATTGATTTTTTAAATTATTTAATAACCACATAATTAGAAGAAGCATTTCATTACAACAGTATTGACATATTCAATAACAATTTCCAGAGCTAAGAAGTATCTCTTTCAAACTCGGCTGTAAAATTTTAGTTTTACAGTTGAATTAATACAGTTGTAACATAGGTTGTACTCAGTATCAATCCTATAAGACATAAAATTGAATGAGGTTTTAACCTTTAAAAAAGATCTCCATTTCATTATTAAAATACACTGTTTCATACAGAAAAACTCATTTTTAATGCAACTAATACTTAGGTGTTTGCATGTTTCTCTAATCTCTATATTTAGATTACTACTAGTCACGGTTGGTTACTTTCTGAGATCCTTGGCACCTGAGCATGGATATAAAGTCATCAGGTAGATTTCAGTGGTAATGTTTTACACATCTACTAATTAACATGAAGCAAATTTTTATGCTTCTTCCTCAAATATAACTCTTAATTAATTAATTAATTAATGTATTTTGTGTGTATTTCACACAGAACATCCTAATCTTATTCATCTGTATACCCACATCCCAAGTGACACTCTACCCGCCCCCACCCTGCTGGAGCCCATATACTCTGTCATCCCTGTTACTGTCCACTGTCCACTGTGTTGTCAGTGCCCCCAGCTGTTCCCCAATGCTTATCCATCCGCTGAGTCTAATCAGCCTATCTATAGTTCCTTGTTTTAGGAAGATTAGCTCTTCCTCATCTAGCAGCAAGCTGTTGCCAATATTCTTTTAGATAAGATTGGGGTGTGCTGTTCATTTTCCCAGTTCTATGCTGGGTTACTGTCTGGGAGTCTCTTGGGCCACCCTGGTCAACAACTCAAAGGAAGATATCTCCTGTGTGGCATTGTTTCTTGTTATGTAGCCTTTAGCTATACACATGGACTCTTAAAGAATTATATTGATCCCTTTAATCTTTGGTATACTTTCCTTTTGGGTGTTTAAGACCATGTAGTTGGTCCAGATAAACCAAATTTAAGGTCATTTGAGGATCTGTTCCTCAGGGGTCACATGGGCATGGGAAGAGCTCCTGGCTCCTTTCCTCTACCAGTTCCATCTATGTGAAAATTAAGTCAAAGGTCCTGCTCAACTGTGGATGGCTTCACTTGGAAGTATGGAGGAAATATTTCCTCTGTTGCCCTTCCTATTTGTAGACTGGACACCGGTTCAAGCCCATCTAGTGGGGTCTCCATGGTCTCCTTGATCAAGAGGACAGGTGACTCACCACAGTTACAGGACATTTTGAGAGATTGCTCCATAGTCCCCTGGAACTTAGTCAACCTTGAAGGGCAAGGAGCAAAAACTGTCCTTTAAGTCCCTCTGACCAGATTAGTATAGGTCTCAAAGTATGGCTATTAAACATCCAAGAAGGTTAGTTTCACCAGTCTGGTACTTTTAATTACCATCTGCTATGTAGATGAAGCTTGGGCAAAGACCAGAGGTTCTCAGATAAACCTTGACTAGACATATATTATATTCCTTGAGCTAGTTGTATGTATAGTTCGTCAGTAGGTTGTTGGACTAATATGGCTCCCTCTTTTTTTAAATATTTTATTTATTATTTTTATTTTATGTGTATGAGTGTGTTGCCTGCACGTAGGTAACTGCACCTGTGTCATGCAATGCCCTTGGAAGACAGAAGAGGCTCTCAGATCCCCTGGAACTGGAGTTACTGACAGCTGTTAGCAGCCATGTGGGTGCTGGGATACCAACCCGGGTCTTCTGCAAGTGCAGAACAACTAGTGTTCTTAACTGCTGAGTCATCTCTCCAGTCCCCCCCCACACCTCTGGTTTTTTAAAAACTAGCTAGGCATTATTTATCCCTCAAATTGTCTAACTGCCACCATGGTTTCCTGGTTTAAATTGCCCCCATTTTTCCCATTTCTCCCTTAATAATACCTTTCTCTTATGGTCCCATGTCTCTTGAGCCCCTTCTTTCCCTTTATCCCCCAGGTTCCTTGTATAACCCCCCCCTCCCCTCCCCTTAAAATAACCCCATTTTTATCCATAGCTCCCTGGTTAACCTGTTTCCTACTGTTCTTCTCTTTCAGATTCTTTCTTTTCCTTTACCTCCCTGGTTCCTTTTCATTATCCTGGTGCCTATAGTTATGTCTGGGTACATATTCACATATAACGATTTGATGCTAGGATCCATGTATGAGGGAGAACATACATTATTTGTTTTTCTGAGTCTGTGTTATTTCACTTAGTATAACACTTTCTAGTTCCATCCATTTACCTGCAAATTTCATGATTTCATCTTTCTTTACTGCTGAGTAAAACTCCATCGTATATATGAACCACATTTTCATTATCCACTCATCAATTGAGGGACACCTAGGTTGCTTCCATCTCTTAGCTATTGTGAAAAGAGCAGCAACAAACATGGATGTACAAGTGTCTCTGCAGTAGGATGAGTTCTTTGGGTATATGCCAAGGAGTGGTATAACTGGGTCAAATGGTAGGTTCATTTTTAGTTTTTTAAGAGTTCTTCACACTGCTTTCCATAGGGATTGAACAAGTTTGCAATCCCACCAGCAGTGGATGAGTGTTCCCCTTTCCTCACATCCTCTCCAACATTTGGTATCATTTGTAAATTGGTATGATTTTTAAAAAATTATTATTTAGCCGGGCATGGTGGTGCACGCCTTTAATCCCAGCACTCGGGAGGCAGAGGCAGGCGGATCTCTGTGAGTTCAAGGCCAACCTGGTCTACATAGTGAGTTCCAGGCCAGCTGGGGCTACAGGGAGACCCTGTCTCAAAAAGACAAAAAAAAAATATTATTTTATGTGTATGAGTGTATTGCCTGCACGTAAGTGCACCCATGTTGTGCAGTGCCCGTGGAGGTCAGAAGAGGATGTCAGATCCCCTGCAACTTGAGTTACGGGCAGTTGTTAGCTGCTGTATGGGTGCTGGGAATTGAACCCAGGTCCTCTGCAAGAGCAGCCAGCGCTCTTAACTGCTGAGCCATCTCTCCAGCCCAAGGTTACATATTTAGATAGAGGCTTTGTACATTTGTTATGAAAAAATCAGCAGGTTTTTAAATACTGCTAATGAATTTTGTTGTCAAGGACTGCCACAGGGACTAGGGAAAGGAGGTATCCTCTAGGTCTCACTTTTAACATCATTTCACAAGAGCCTCTAAGATACCAAGTACCAGTTGTTTCAGCTCCACAATTTTCTGTAACACTCCTGACTCATCACAAGCTATTTGTTGCAAAACCTGTCATGAGCTAACATGAGGTAGTTTATAATCTTTATTCTATTGTGTGACCATGGTAGTGTTGTGAAAATACTAACTTACTTGGTTACAGGGTGTTATTGAAGTTCCTGTAGGGGTGGGGATCTCTTGTAATAAAGGGATATGCCATGAAATACTGTTGTGAGAAAAAAATACATTCTGAACTTACCTGGACTCAGCTTGTGGAGCTGGAATGCGGTCAGTGCAAAAATGTACAAAACCTAGTTAATGTGCATTCTGTAAATTTGATATGGTATAACTAGGAGTTGCACAGGAAATAGAAACCTTAGGGCAGAAAATCCCCCAGTCCTGTGTACCAGGCCCAGATTGGCCTTGAAGTAGTGGCAGTCCTCCTTTCTCAGCCTCCTGAATGCTGGGATCAGAATATGCTGCCACAGCCAGCTTTATCTTTGTTTTTTTCCATCCAGTGCTAGGGATTGCACACAGGGCTTTCCACATGCAAGGCAAGCACTCTGCCACTGAGTTGCACTCATTCCTTCTCCGCCCTTTAAACTAGCTTTTGCTGTAATTCCTCCTGAAGCAGGATCCCGTTTCTACCCCTAAATGAAATTTCTGTTCTTCATCTTTCTTTTTAGTGTGTGTTTGTATGTTTGCAGGTGTATGTGTGCATGTGTAGATGTCTAGAGGCCAGAGAATAACTGTGGGTGTCATCCTTAAGACCACTATCCACCTCCTTTGGGACAGGGTCTCTCATTGGCCTTGAGCTAACCAGTTAGACTAGACTGACTAGCCAGCGTGCCCCAGGATTCTATCAGTTTTCACTTCCCTAGTGCTGGAATTACAGCCCATGCAACCACTCCTGGCACTTTTACATGGGTTCTGGTGGTTGAACTCAAGTCTTCATGCTTGCAAGGGAAGATTTTACCAGTTGAGCTTTCTCCCCAGCACATTCTTCAGCTTTATTGTCACACTTACCCCACCCCCACCCCATTTCCATACCATTCCTGCTTAGACTTTTGACTTCCTTCAGTCTATGGGCACTACTACTCTGTTGGTTACCCAGGCTAGAAACTTTGGCAACTATCTTCTTAGGTCTTGCATCGCATCTTTCACACCATTCAAACATTTTTACTTACTTTGTTTTTCTTTGAGGGTTTCACTATGTAGCTCAGAATGGCCTTCAACTTGAGATCCTCCTGCCTCTACCTCCTGAGTAGAGGCCTGTACTGCCACACCCAGCTTTCAGTTTTACTTTGTTATGTTCCACTTGCCACCAGCTTCTCATTCCTATGGTTACTCCTTCTGTTTGGACTTACTCATCATAGTGCCTCTGTCTCTCTAGCTTGTCATTCACATGGAGTCAGGTGAACCTTCCTAAAGCATTGCTTTTATTGATAAGTGTCCTTCCTCTATTCATATACCTTGAAGTAGTTTTATATATAGTTCCTTAAACTTTGGAACTAGCTCAGACCTCCTTTTTGGCCTTTTTATTCTGCTTTCATGTATTTCTAGTCAAACTACAGTTCTTCCATTTTCTGAACATTCACTGAGCCATGTTCAGGGCTTCTGAATATGGGTTGTGGTTTTCCATCTCAGTGTATATTGTTGCTAGTACTCCTTCCTCTTGAAATGTCATACCCCTTTATCTCTTACCTGCTGAAATCCAATTCCTCTTTTCTGTACCCACTCGGATTTCATTTTGTCTCAAAAGCCATTCTAGATTATCTGAAGGGAACCCTTTCCTCTTCTGCATTCCTTCGTGGTTTATGACACACCGTACCTTTCATGATCATGTTATGTCCCTTTCTCTTTGTGTCTGAGGACACAAACTTAGTTTATTCCAAGATTCTTGTAATTTTATAGTACCAAGAATAGTGCATTGCACAGGCTTGACAAATTTAGCCCTTATATTTGCTGACCACCCTACTTTGTGTGTACTTATACTGAAAGCCCTTAAAATTGAAGGAGTAGATGTGTGAGGGAATGACTTGAATATCACAGAGGATAAAATACTTTTGGCTGCTGGAGCAAGAAGTGGTTAGATGAATTGTAATGAGCATCTGTTGAATATTCTGTGGGATCTTGAGAATTTGTGTCAGTAGAGCAGCCAGACGGGGGCAGCTGTGGAGCAGTTCAGAGTCCAGCTAGCATCTTTCTTTCTTAGATCTGAAATAACACTGTTAGTTTAATATAGCATGCTTTGAGTTCTTAGATTCAACTTTTTTGGGGGGGGTCTTTTTTTGAGACGGGGTCTCCCTGTAGCCCCAGCTGTCCTGGAACTCACTGTATAGACCAGGCTGGCCTTGAACTCACAGAGATCCGCCTGCCTCTGCCTCCCGAGTGCTGGGATTAAAGGTGTGCACCACCACGCCTGGCTAGGTTCAGCTTTTAAGAAATTGCATATTTTGTTTCTGAAATCTTTGAAGTGTATGATTTAAAGATTGAGCTTTTAGAGCTCAATGGGTGGTAGGCGTCCCATTCCAGTGATTTGTTTTGCGTTTTTCACAGGGTTAGTAAAGTTGACTTTCACCATATTGGTACATATGTTGATCTTTTCCTGTGATGTGTATTTTGTTGCAGATGGAGTGGATGGAAAACAAGCTCGTAGAACCAATTCCAGCACCCCTTTAGGGGAGCTTTTTGATCATGGCCTGGATAGTTGGTCATGTGTTTACTTTGTTGTAACTGTGTATTCCATCTTTGGACGAGGATCAACTGGTGTCAGTGTTTTTGTTCTTTATCTCCTGCTATGGGTAGTTTTGTTTTCTTTCATCTTGTCGCACTGGGAAAAGTATAACACAGGAATTCTTTTCCTGCCATGGGGATATGACATTAGCCAGGTGGTAAGTATGCATTCTGTCAGAGAATTTCAACGTTGTTGTGATTTAAAAAAAAAAAAAAAAAAAAAAAAATTTGTTATCGTTTTTCATTGCTGCTAGGCATTTTTTATTAGAATTGATGTGTGATTTTAAAAAAGTTTGGGGTTATCCCAGCACTCAGGAGGCAGAGGATGAACTCTGTGAGTTCAAGGCCAGCCTGGTCTGTCTAGCAAGTTCCAGGCCATCTGGGACTACAGGGAGACCCTGTCTCAAAAAGACCAAAAAAACAAAAAAAACAAAAAACAAGTTTGGAGTTTTTTTTGGGGGCAGTGGGGAGGTTGGGGATGGAGATACAGCATAGTGGTGGAGCATTTGCCTAACATGTACAAGGCCATATCCTCAACAACATACACACATACATGTACGCCTCATTTTGTTTTTACTTATTTATGGGACATTGCAAGCATATACGTAGAGAGACATGTATCTATTACATAGCTTTAGCAGTTATTAATACATAGCCAGTCTAGTTTCCTGTACTCTCTCTGTGTACAGAACAGAAGACGTCCTCTGCAAGAGCAGCCAGTGCTTGTAATTGCTGAGTCATCTCTACAGCCCCACAAAATCCGATAATTCCTTAATGTTATTAAATATAAATTAATTTGAAAATTGCTGAGTCATCTCTACAGCCCCACAAAATCCGATAATTCCTTAATGTTATTAAATATAAATTAATTTGAACTGTTGATTTTTATAAAGGTGTGCACATAGGACTAAATTGTTGGCTTTTTGTCTTCCTTGCCAACTTTTTTTTTTGAGTAGAGCGATTCCTCTTACTTTGATAGGCTAACTCTCCCTGCCTTTGAATTCCAGCTTTTTATGTTGTCATTTCCCCCATTTTCACAGGAGAATCCAGTAAAGAAACCAGAAGCTGGATTGTTGATGGAAGTGGTGTGGTGGGCAAATTGAATCTTCCTGTGACCTAACCAGTTTGTGGCATTGTCTGCAAAGTAGAAGTTTTTTTTGTTTTTTTTTTTGAGATAAGGTCTTCCTGTGAGCCTAGCTGGTCTCGATCTTGCTATGCAGACTAGACTGGCCTTGATCTCACAGAGATCTACCTGCCTTTGCTTCCTGAGTACTGGGATTAAAAACATGCTCTACTATGTCTGGCAGGGAGTCTATTTTAAAGGCAGGAAGATTTGCCACATAGCAAATTTAAACACATATTTTGCTTTTACTAAACACTTTGACTAGTCTTAATGTTGCACGAAGCATTGTTGGCTCCCTGGGTTTTTCAGCTGCTATTAATACCTCTCTTTGTTTTGTCTGTGTTTTCCTTCTAGACTATTTCTTTTGTCTACATAGTGACTGCAGTTGTGGGAGTTGAGGCCTGGTATGATCCTTTCCTGTTTAATTTCTTATATAGAGACCTATTCACTGCAATGATTATTGGTAAGAAGCTCCATGTCAAAGACTATTTTAACCATCACTTTGTTATCAAAAGCCAGTAATAACACTCTTATTCTCCAGCAAACAGAACAACCCTACAGCCCTAAAAGATTTCATTAAACATTAAAGAAAATAAGGGAGTTTATGGTTGTTGAGCACCAAGTTTTTTCAGAAAACTTCCAAAATAGATAATCGTACAAGCCTTGTAAAGTAACTGTCAGATTTAGTCTAGGCTATATTAGAAGATCCACATTTAGCTAGACAGTTGATGGGTATTTCATATGTATTTCAAAGTTGAAGATTATTAGTTTGAACAAAATATCATAGATGAAATATTAAGACTTTTTATAATCTGTTTCAAAACTTAAGCCTCTCTTCCTCTTGGATACCTTCCTTATTTCACTGAAAGGTTTTTGTGGTGATAGGCCATCTTGGGGGCTCTGTCTGTTCCTCCCAAAGAAGGCATTCCTAATGGCAAACAGAAACCACCTGTCTACTACCAGCCTTGTATCTTCCTTCCTGCATAGAGGGTCTAGCCTCCCCCCGCCCCCCTTTCAAAAATTTTTTTTTAGACAGAGTCTCCCTATAGCCCCAGCTGACCTGGAACTTGCTGTGTAGATCAGGTTGAACTTGATCTCACAGACCTCCACCTGCCTCTGCCTCCTAAATGCTGGGATTAAAGGTGTGCACCACTAAGCCCAGCCTAATACAGTTTTTAACTGTTTCTAAGCTGTTTCTACTCCATTACCAATGTTCACCATCAAAACTAGATAGGGTTAATTTTTAGATAAGGGAGCAGAGCAGTAGCCTACATGTATGCCCTTTGTTTCTACAAAGGTCTTTCATACTACCAAATCTAGGCTGTTACTTTGGGGGCCTAGAGTTCTTTGTTTTTGCCTCTTTCCAAACCAGCAGTGCTCTTTCGCTCTTAGTCACCTGTTCTGCAGATATTCTTTTGGCTAAAATCAAAAGGTTAACATTACTACATTAGGAAGTACATAGTAACTTGTTTGTCTCTTTGTTATAGTGATCAGAAGGCTGGGTATTGTGTATCTGTTCTACCTGTTACAAAGTTAGCATCTGCTCTTTGCCTACTAGTATTCATAGACATTGATGGTCTTTGTTTAGGAATCTATTCAGCAGACAGCTAGGGGACTAAAGTTAGTTTTATGATAAAAATACCTCATAAATTCAAACTGATGATTCTAAATGGAACTTGATAGTAAAGGTACTACTTTGTGGTTATGATACCAATTTTGGACATTGTACTTTGAAGTTTAATTTACTTGGACTTATAAACATTAGTCTTTCTTTTGGAATTTATTCTTTTCTAGTTATATAAAATATTCATAAATACAAAATGGAATCTATAGAACAGTATACTCAAAGAAATGTAGCTTTTACCACTACCCTATTCTTTTTCCTCTTAGTTAACCATTCTTAGTGTGTTTGTTGTTGTTTTGTTTTTATTTTGTATGTGTGCTTGTGCCATGGCACACATGTGGAGGTCAGAGGACAACTTGTGAAAGTCTGTTTGCTCCTTCCACCATGTGGGTTCTGATGGAATTCAGGTAATAGGCTTGGTGGCAAATACTTTTCCCACTGAGCCATCTCACCAATTTCATTCTCAGCTTTTAATGTGGCTTTTCATTCTTTCTTTATTGTAAGAAGTATGTCATTTTACCACCACTGTTTGTAGGTAGTGGTAGCTTTCTGTCATACTTTACCTTCTTCCCTACTTGATTGTATATCCAAGGTAGTACATAAGAATTTTCCCCATCCTTCTTCCAGTTTCCTGATACTTCTTTGAATGGATGAAGTAACCAGCCCCGTATTGATATTCAGAAATTTTTAGTCTTTTTTTTTTTTTTTTCTTTCTGTTACACAAATTGCTGTCATAAATGGTCTTCTGCATGCATTTTTTCATAGTTTTTGCCAGGCTACTGTGGAGGATTCCTAGAAGCCGAATTAAGTAATGAAGGACAAATACATGCAGTTTTGCTGCACATTCCCATATTCCATCCCCTAGGGGTTGTTGATTTTGCATTTCTGTGAGCTGTGTATAAAAGTGTTTATTTTTAGTTTCACTGACAAAGTATATTGTCAAACTTTGCCAATCCTGATGGGTAAACAATAATATATCTTTATAGTTTCAGTTTGCATTTCTCATGAATGAACTTTCCTGGGGTTTAAAGCCACTTATGTTTCTTTTTCTGTATGTTTTACATATTTCAGCCCATTTTTTCAGAGTTGTTGATTATTTCCTTTATTCTTAGAAACTCTTCATATTTTAGGTGTATTCTTTGTTTTGATTAATTACAATTTTCCCACTTGTTAACCTTAAACTTACCTTTACTTTTTATCTTGGTGGCATCACTTGACATTCCTGTGTAATAATTGAGTTAGAAATGTGAAGAACTTATATGTGTATATATATATATA